TAGAATCTTTATCTTGATAATTTTGGACATTCTCATTAAAGTTTCTTTCGTCAATTTGTAGCTTTTGAATATTACTATTAAAGCTGTTTATTGCGGACTTTCTGACAGACATCTGATTTTTGAGAAAAATTTTAAAATTTCTTTCATATCAAAAGAGATTTCTTGCACAATTGTAGAATATTCTATAAGCTTGCTACTCCTCAGTCATTTCGTGTCTCGTAACTTGTGAATATCACTGTTTGTTTTGTCAACTCCATGACTTGAGTATATCGACAACGATTTCTGCTTAGGAAAATGACACACTGTAAGTACATCAATGCAATGATGAGTTTATTGCAAATCGACAAAACACAGCAAGCAGCAAGTAATCAATTAACCTGGTTAATTATGATGAGGCCAGCAAGAAAAGAATATACGTAAATGGCGATGCGAGCCGCATCAAAGGCAGACGAATTAGTGCCAGTACTCTGGACTCAAGTCTCCCCAGTGCCAGAACCTCCATTTGGGAAAGCTTCTCTAGATGACGATACGGATATAAGTACGCAGCGAGTAAGCCGACAGGCCCAAAGCAGTGTCGATGTGTAGGTCCCTACAAGGATCCAAGCATTAGAAGTGTATGGGCATATTGGGAACTAATATTATACAATGTCTACTTGTATACTACTTGAGCCAGTTTCTCTCCATCATTCCTTAAAGCCCCCAGACAGATATCTCCTTGTGACAAGATTTGATTAACTGGTCTAGGCTGAACGTCATACAGTCACTCTACTGTATTATTGGCTACGTTCACCAGAACCAAAACGGATTGTAAACAGTTTACAAATACCAACAGAATATGTTGAGTAAACTCTTGGTTCTGCTGAACGAATCAACTTTTCAATGATAGAACGTCACCTTCTGAATGACAGGTCACCACACAAAACACAGTGTTGAAAATTATAAACAATCTGAAATTATGCTTGCAAAAATGGCGACCGTTTGCAAAACATGTTTGGTTTTAGCACAAATTCAACGTAGCGTTCAGCAAAACAATCGCAAACCGTTTACCAACGTTTGTATCTGGTGAACGCGGCCATTGTTCCTGGTGCAGACTCGGGCAGGTTTGGATTTTTACATAAGTAAACACAATCTATTCTTCCTAGACCCATTTATTTTGTGTAAAAAGAAAAGATGTAAATAGAAACTTGATCCTATACAATCTACACAATAGTCCAGGAAATACATAATTTTAGGTTGCAAAATTCAAAGTAGTCCTGGACATAGGCTTGTTCCATGTTTTCGGGCTCGCTGAATCCGAATTAAGAACTTTCCACCAAAAATTCTCCCTGAAACCCCCCCAAATTTTGAGAAAAAGAAAAAAATATCGTTTTTTTGGGAATAAAATCGTTGTTTTGTGGATCTTAGAGAAAAATTATCTGGAAATTCGGAAAGTAAACGAAACTCACGACAAAAGATATCATAGTATGATAATTTGATGTAGAAATATGACCTCATCCAAAATCAAAAGATTTTGGTTGAGTTTCCACATTCATCCTTTCCTTTGACAGATAATTCGTCGCCTTCCTTGCAAAGGGGCCTATCTCATTTTTTGTGATTTTTCAGGAGAGAAAAGTCTTTACAAATATTTTGTGAGATTATTTTCGTGCCAGATTTGAGATAGGCCTAATACTGAAAAAGACGAGATTAGGTACTTATATTTGAGATACGCCTTTTAGAAGGTAGCTGCAGGTAACTGTTTTGATGCCTTGCAAGGGCCTAACTCAATTTAGCGATTTTTTGAGATAAGCCCCTTTGTAAGGAAGGCGACGAATTACTACCGTGCCTCTCAACTTTGTGTCTTATTGGTTTCAAAATCAGTACGGGTTAAAGGGTTGAAAATATGAAAAAATTTGCTTCAAATTGTCCTTTTATTTGGACGCCATATTGCGGTACGCGAACATAGTTGCCAAAAGTAGAAAAAAAAATTACTACTAGTCAACATTAAAAACAAAAGTTACTGAGTAAATTACATTTAAAATTTGAATTTGCCGCCTATTAGGAATGTTTTTGAAAAGAAAAGCCATCAATTTTAGCTTGTATTGGGCAAAATAGAAGTAATAGAATATCTACCTATTTACTTTCATCAATCAGAGAGAGAAAGTGAACAAACAGAAAGGATAGCGAAGATCAATCATTTAATTACTTTTGTTTTTAATGTTGACAGCCCGCTAGTAATTTTTGTTTTCTTCTTTTGGCAACTATGTTCGCGCACCGCAATATGGCGTTTAAACAAAAGGTCAATTGAACACGTGACAACTGCCAAAATTTTCATATTTTTGCTCTTGGAGCTATTTTCGGAACTCAGCTATTGAACATTAAGTCTGTTTTTTTTTTAAAGATAATTCCCCAAGTCAAAAATTTAGTAACTATGTTGGCAACACAAGCCTTTTCTACATAAAAAAATTTGAAAGCATTGACAATTTTACATTGTATTGCCAACAGAATGTCATTTTGACTTTTATCTTAAAAAAAAAACAGATTTTACATTAGAATGGTGTGCAAACATTAGTACGAGTAGGTAATCAATGTATTGGGGGCGAAGATTCTAAATAGAGAAAACGAAGGCTGTTGTACCCTACTTAGAAGCTTCGAAGTGAAGGATATAGAGGCCGTTGTACACTATTTAAGCTTCGAAGTGAATGAGATGGAGGCCGTTGTAAAGTCTGTTTTTTTTTTAAAGATAATTCCCCAAGTCAAAAATTTAGTAACTATGTTGGCAACACAAGCCTTTTCTACATAAAAAATTTGAAAGCATTGACAATTTTACATTGTATTGCCAACATAATGTCATTTTGACTTTTATCTTTAAATAAAAAACAGATTTTACACTGTTTCAAACGCCCTGCGGGCGAAGATTCTAAGTGGATAAAACGGAGGCCATTGTGAAGTCCGTCGATTTTAATCTGATACTCCAAAGGAATGTGAGCTGGTGTCTCCCTACGTTAGAACGCCAATGATCACCTGACGTCACACTTGTTTTTGCCATATGCTTCACCCCCTCGCTCATCATGCGGAAAGTGTCAGATTAAAAACGACGGACAATACTCTATTTAAGCATCGAAGCGGAGAAAACGGAGGCCGTTGTACACTGTTTCAAACGCCCTGCAGGCGAAGTCTCTAAGTGCAGAAGACGGGGGCCATTGTAAAGAGTTTCAAACGCCCTTCGGGCGAAGATTCTATAAGTGGAGGAGAAACAGGATGTTGCAAACACCAAATGCGCCTTACGAGCGCACTGATTCAAACGCCCTGCGGGCGGAAATTCTAAGCATAGAAGAAACAGGACGTTACCTTTTCTTCGATCCCGAGGAATACGTAAAAAATACTAAAAAAAATCCATGGCCAACTTTGACAGCTGTCAACGTTAAAAATATGACAAGCAGAAACAATATCAAAAAAGTAAATCCATCAAGCTCATTATTTTTTTAAAAAAATTTCAATTTGGCGAAAAAAAAAAAGTTTACAGTGATGTCAAATCACGCCAGCGAGTAATAATTTCTTCCACATATAACTGATAAAAACTAAATGGTCGTATGAATTCGACCCCAAGAAACACGTATTCCATCATCAATTTTGATAGCTATCAACGCCAAAAATATGTCAAGCGGATATGATATGATGACAGATGACATCTGTTATTTTCAACAAAGTGTCGAGCGACAAAACTTATACTTGATCGCGTCATCGAAATTTGACATGTCAAAAAAATCACGTTTTTCTACGTCAAGTATCGATGGGATTTTTTATATAGGGTTTTTGGGGTCTGGGAATCGTTATCCGCCAATATTTTTTTTGAAAAACGGAAAATTGGAAGAAAAAAAACTTTTTTGACGTTGACAGCTGTCAAAAAAATTTGACACTGACAGATAGTTCACAACATACCTATGTCCGTCATGTAACAAGTTTGGTAGTCGTAGCTTGTATGGTAGAGCGAGGAAAGAGGCAAACATGTGTCAGATTTGACAGGTGACATCTGTCAATATCACCATACTGTCGGGCGTCAAAAATTCTATCCGAATGCGTTTTCCAAAGGACATCACACACATCTTATGGGTTTTAGGGGCCCGGTCGATTTTTCAAAAATTTGGTATGTTGTAGTACTAGCAAAAATAAGCATTTTTCATCAGTGCACCAAATCTCTAACTATACAGGGTGACCCAGTAAAGTGGGTCCGAAAATCAAGTCATTTTTTGACATATATCGATGTCAATTTTTTTTAGGGTTTTTGAGGTCGGAGGATCGTTTTTCGAACATCGTGAATTTTTTTTATCAGAAATTAGGTGAAAAATACTTTTTTGACGTTGACAGCTGTCAATTTTTTTTTACACTGACAGGTAGCTCACGTTGAATAATCGTTATGCACAAAGTTTGGTGATTGTAGCTTGTATAGTAAAGCAGGGGGAAAGGCAAACAACCCTATCGCAACAAATTTCGGTCGCATGACAGCTGTCAAATTGTTTTTGACAGGTGACGTAAAACTGTTTTGAAAAAATCTAGTGCAACTCGGGGCCCTTTTTTTGAGTTTCTGTCAGCATGTCATATTTTGGACATTGACAGCGGTCATTTTTTAGATTCGAAGTGAAGGAGATGGAGGCCGTTGTACACTGTTTCAAACGCCCTGACATCACACCTGTTTTTGCCATGTGCTTCACCTCCTCGCTCCTCATATGGAAAGTGTCAGTTTAAAAACGACGGACAATACATTATTTAAGCTTCGAAGTGGAGAAGATGGAGGCCGTTGTACACTATTTCAAACGCCCTGCGGGCGAAGATTCAGTGAAGAAAATAAAGTCTGTTTTACAGTGTTTCAAATGCCCTGCGGGCGAAGATTCTAAGTGGAGAAAACGGCGGCCATTGTAAAATGTTTCCAGCGCCCTGTGAGCGAAGATTCTAAGTGGATGAAACGGAGGCTATTCGAAGTGAAGGCTATTTTGTTGAATAAAATGTTGTTTCTTATTTCTCACCTGCCACAGCCAATGTAAAGTAAAGTGTTTTTATTTTTTAAAGATAAAAGTCAAAATGATATTATGTTGGCAATACAATGTAAAATTGTCAAACTTTCAAATTTTTTATGTAGAAAAGGCTTGTGTTGCCAACATAGCTACTAAATTTTTGACCTGGGGAATAGACCTATCTATTTTACCAGACAAAGAGGTAATAATACGAAAACTTTATTAGATAAAAAAAGGCACAGAACGCTCATTGCGCAAGACGAGGCAAAACGTACCAAATTATGTTAGACTTACGTATAACAATCCGTTCTTTTTATTTGCACGGCATAAAAAAGGAAGGCGAAAGACAAGGAGATGCCCAGCATGCAAAACGAACACCTCTCACCTGTACCAGTTAGCCAATAGAAAGGCATTGCCTCGTGTTGCGCGCGCATACCAGGTAAAAATAGATAGGTCTATTATCTTAAAAAAAAAACAAACTTTATGCCCCAACCTGTGCTACAACTTCCTCTGCTTAGGTCTAAATTGATAGGTCTGTAGTGCCGGAAGCGCTTACCCGTATCAAGTTGCCCTTGTGACGTGTCAAATTGTGACGTGAGTCACATTTCATTGATTTTGACGCTGGCTTGAGTGACTTTAGTAAGCCGATAAGAGAGGGAAGACCATGGGAAGACCAAGCATATTACTTGACAGTTTTTGACAGTTCCAATAGCCAATTAAATTTTGATATTTCTTGTCATGTGACACATAGCACCCAATCATTTCAAGATTATACTGAAAACAGATCCCATGGGCTGTTTTCACTCTAGGACGCTGCTGTCAATTTTTTTTTTATCAGAATAACCCTGCTAATTCCACGAAAAAATCAAATTCTTTCTTTTTTGCTTTTGGCCATCGTGCTCTAAATTTTTAGTTTTAAGGTTGACAAGCATTATCAGTAAGATACTGATGATGAGATTTTCGACTTTTGAACCTAGTAAACCTTGTCCTGAAAAAAGAATGTGACTATTATTCCTTTAGTTATGATTTTAAATGTTCCAGTTTCTCAAAATAGGGATTCATTCTAGAGTCCGCTAGTACCAGAGTACCAAGATTATTGATAATCCAATCTTCCTCTTCCGATTTCTATGACTCCGCAAAGCAAAACCCGGTTTTGTCACTCAAAGATTGACAAGACCTCCTAAAGAAGCCCTACAGTAACAACTGAGATTTTATGCTTCGACTTAAAAATGCACATCGATTAACTCAGGTTGTAGGTATGTACCTATCTGTTTTTGTTTTGCCAGTTTACCTTTAATAGCATATTAAAGTATAAGTGGATATTAAGGTCTTTAAAACACGCGCGATAGAGCAAGTGTTTTAAAGAGCAGTTATCCACGAATACTTTACACTATTTTTTTTTATTGGTACTTATACGTTCAAATCATAAATTACTAATAGTTGGTAGAATGCCAAATTCGTGATATGACATCTGGTATACCTTTCATTGTCTGACAAATCAATAATTAAAAAGTTGACATTTAGACTTTACCTTTCTTGGGTTGTTGATATTGTCATGGTAACTTTATTGAAAAATGCGCGTTTTTGAATGTTGGATTTAAACACGCTCAGGAGTACTTTAAATAAGTAAAATAGGTTATCAATAAAAAAAATAATATATTTACCGTATTTGTATTTTAATCACCATTTTTTTTATCAGTATTGTCAAATCTCAGAGTATTGAATTCTAATTTTTTTTTTCATTGTTTCATTCTGTTTACCTGTTCTATGCTTAAACTGCAGTGGATAAATTCAGTGACACACTCGTAGTTGTAGTAGGTATATAATTTCTGAATAATTATTTTAATTTCTCATGTTAAGTTTCTGGCAGCAGTTTGACAGTATATAATGTAGAAATTTAATGAATGTAAGCTTTATTCTTATTTAACTTGCCGTTGGGTTAACTATACAGACAAAAGATTCATCTTCGACTGACTTCGACCCTGTTTGAATTTTATGCAGTACCCATAGACAAATTCTTCTGTTGCTAGTTACCTAATTATCACACTCCTTCAAAGTGACTATTGAGGGCCACAAGAGAGAAAATATCGTATCTGTATTCTCAAACAGGTCATCTGCCTGATATAGGTACCTAGGGGGATCGAATAGGGCAAGGGACTGGAACAAGGGTGAACGGCCCACTTTGTAGACTATCAACAACCCTAGGAGAAAGCCCAACCATATTTCGAGCGGAAATATTCGCAATAGCAATTTGCGCTGGAAAGTGTCTCGAAAGAGACCTGCGAGAAGCGAAGATCTATATCAATTCCGATAGTCAGACAAGAGCTTTTAGAAGCTCTGTCACTAAGTCCAGACTGGTATGGAACTGCCAACAACTCATAAAGCAACTGGCGTCTCGCTATAGATGGGCCATTCTGTCATAGAAACCCAGGGCACCAAGGAGTCGAGGGAAATGAAGTAGCGGACCAACTTGCAAAACAAGGAGCTGCAACACCATTCTTTGGACAAGAACTTTGCTCCGGCAATACGGAAAGCCATATGATAGGGGGAGTCCAGAATTGGGTAAAGGCTCAATATAAGCCTCCAGCTGGAACACGTTTCCAGGATTTCAAAGGCGAAACAATTCATCTCTCCCCAATCAATAAAGCTGAAGGATATGATTGACATTATTAAAGTGGATCTAAGGCTGCTAACAGGTCTCCTTACGGGTCACTGCTTTCTGGGTTACCACCTAAAAAAGATGGGCGAAACAGGATCAGACCTATGCCGCTTCAATCCATTTTGATCCATAAGGACAAATTTTTGAATTATTGCATGAAAAAGTTGAAAAATGGTAGAAACGCGAGAATGAACATGATTTGAAAGCCCTGTATGTAACGAATGAACACAAAATACTAAGTAGTTACCTACGTATGTCATATGTGTGTAAATTGTAACATTGTTGATGGTTTTTTTTTTAATTCCAAACAAAAACATTTACCAATTATATCATAAATGATAAAAAAAGACAACAATACAGACATATTTCAGAGAAAAAATGGACAGGGAAGATAAGATCCGAATTAATTGCCTAAAATATCACGATACTTAGAAAAGATGGAAAAGGGTATAAAAATAAAATAAAAATATACTTTTATGCCTAACAATAAATAACTTAAGAACAAAACCAATTTAATTGAAAATTTTCATAATATCTTCAGCAAGTTCCTTGTTCTTTAGTATCGTTGTATGCGTCCCATCAAACACCTAAAAAACACACATTTTTGAAAAATACTTACCAACACTTATGTATTACCCATCTCACCTTAACCTCCACAACCTCCTCGAAATATTGCTGAATATCATAATCTTGTTTGTCGAAACTCACACTTACAGCTGTAGGTTTATACAAGTGAATTTTGGATTTAAGTTTACCACATGATGGAATATATGTTGTGCAAGCATTCATTCTTTGTAATGCTGCTTTAGTAATGTTAATAATGAAAGGTTCAGTAAGTCTTTGGTCAAATTTGAAGTTGGCTGCCAATAATCGGAGTTTTTCGTCTAAACTAGAGCATTTACAAATGTTTTCCTAAAAGATAATAAGCATGATGACTGAACAAAATCGCCCTGGGAACAAGAAAATCTCCTACCATAATTTTCTTCGTATCCAAATCGTTCAGTTGCATCTTTAAAATGTTGGCAACCACGATGTTTTCTAACACTTCACTACTACCAGAGCCCGTTGTTAGATTGATTAGTTTTTTCAAAAATTCTGGTGAGCCATCAATGAAAATTATCGATCCTAAATAGCCCAATTTTTCCAATTTACTTAAAACTTCTAGCGCTATATTGCATCCTACTGAGTGGGCTAATATGTGGAAGGATTTATGGGTTTGGAGAAATTGTTTTATTTCCTGTAAGAAAGTAATTTTGACGACAAAAATTACAAATGTATATCAATATATTATTCCGCAAATGGAAAACTGCAGGCTGGCAAATGAAAATATTCTGATTCCTACTCAGAATGAATTGCAGTTGTCGTTACACTTAAGTAGCAGGTACTTACCGGTAGTAATACCTCAGCCATTTTAGGAATACTGTTCTGTTGGGTTTCGATAATATAGTTGACACCAAAAGCTTCAACCTCAAGCTGCTCAGTTAGATTTTGTAATATTTCGCAAACTCCTTCAATACCTGAAAGAGAATTCTAGCTGAGTAAAAACTCCTTCAAGTCAAATAGAAGTATTCTCACCAGGAAAAGCTAAAATTTTTGGCAATACTTTAGTATCTTTGGGACTGTTCAGGGACTTCAACTTAACAATACTCGATTTCTGTTGTTCAACTTTAATGAGATCCTTCAAAATATTAGCCCAGTCAACAATATCGTTTGATGCTGAGTCAGATTCTGAAACGCTGCAGCCTTTTTCTTGAAATTCTTGGATTCTAAAAAAAAAACAAATTTTTCTCACAAAAGACCATCAATAACATTGCCCTTACCGTGCTAAGGTTATGCTTCTCATTTCAGTAGGAGACAAAAATATATTAAACTCCCTCTCTAGAGTCTGCTTCACTTCAACTCCAGTCATTGAATCCATTCCTAGTTCGGCCAACGTCGATTGTATACTGACAGACTTAACATCTCTTATTCCTGAAAAATATTTTTAGTTTTAAACTGCTTGATGAAGTTTTTAACGGTTTGTAACCTAAAATTTCGCAAACAACGTCTACAATACTTGCAGACAAAGAGGAAGATTTTTTCTCAGCCACCACCATGCTGGACAGTATAGCTGCTTCATTTTGCCTCAAAAGAATGTCCATTACTTGGAGGCAATTTGCTATGCTTTGCTGTAGGGTGCCTCCTATTTCTAGCTCCATGTGGTCTTCTTGCATTTCTGCTACTAGACCAACCTGAGAGAGAATTTGGTTATTGTTGGGACACGAAACTTCTAATAAAAAAAGACTCTAGAAAACCAAATACATACATCGTTTTAAAATAGTTGCGAAAAATTTCATTTATGTGCATCTTTAAAATATTGTGAAGTGTGGATCAATTCGAAGGTTTGATTACCCTACGAGTTATCCGAATGATTTGGATAGCCAAATAAATTTACAGTATGCAAGTTCTCTTCTGCCACTTGCTTTACCAATCCAGAAGAGGATTCAGTAGATTTCTTAGGTCTTTCATATATTTTTTTTTCAGTAAGTTTTTAATTTTTTCACCTAGATGTATTCATCGAAGTTCCCAAAGAAATCTACAAAGTTATCTAGACTTTGTAGATCCTCCCAAAACTGTAAATATTTTGCTTAGTATATAATAATCCAGGCATTGTAGTAGATAAAAATTTAAAAAATACTTGACTTAGGCTACTACAACTACTCCCAATTAAATAAAAAGTCCAAATACAATATTATCCAATGATTGGAGCAGATAACCAAATACACATACTTACAACTGCCCCTTGAAAGGAGCTTAAAAACCGAAGAAATCTACGGAATTCCTTTTCCATGTGGTCCGCATTTATACTAGAAGACTACTCCAAAACAGAAAGTAGAAATTTCATTTGGTTTTGTAGATACCTTAAAAATTCTATATAGATATTTGTTTGTCCTGAAGCCCTACATTTCATTTAAATTTCATTAGTTTAGGCTGAAAGTAACTCAATGATTGGATTACTTGGTTAATCTACCGAGTCAACTCAAATAATCGGTACTCTGTTTTGCAGACTCACATCTCCAATAGCTCCCCATTGAATAGCCAAAGCTGGAAATCCACTTTTACGCCTTTCTTCGCATATCCTTTCCATTACAGAATTTGACATGCCATAATTTGTTTGTCCCGCATTACCTCTTCCACAAGATACCGAAGAGAATACGACAAAATTCCTAAAACAATAAAAGATAATATTACATTCTCCCCTTAAAAATCATTATCATCAAAAATTCAGACATCATGTGATGCATTTTTTACCTTAGCTCTGGACACATAGCTCTAGTAGCTTGATCCAAATAATCCGTAGCGCAAGCTTTAGGGCCAAACGACTCTTCAAAAGCTTCTGCAGTTTGGTTGCTCAATAAAGCATCTCTAAGTACTACAGCCAGATTGAAAACGGCAGCAACCGGTGCTAGGGAGTTAGCTTCTCTTATCAGAGTTTCACAACCGATGTTTTTGGTAATATCTTGGGTGGATATTCTAATGTTACAACCATAACTCTTCCATAATCTGATAGGTAAAAATAAAATTAGTCATTGAAGAGTTGTGCACTAGCTAATTAACTCTTACGATATTCTATAATTCTGATATCCAGTAGTGACGCCTTTTCTAGATGTCAACACCAAATTTTTAGCACCTCTAAGTACCAACCAGTCAGCTAGCTCCAAGCCGAAACCTCCCAATCCACCACATATAACGTATGTCTTAGTAGAATCACAAAAGTACCGTGCGAGTCCTTTGAACTTTTCCTCATGTTTCACGGCTTCTTCTTTTCTGATTTCTACCAAAACTTTTCCCATATGCCTTCCAGTAGTCATAAACCTAAAGGCATGCTCGACATCGTGTTTCTCAAAAACTGTAGGTTTTAACGGCTTCACAGCTCCTAAATCAATATATTTCTGCACTAGTTCTTTTAGTTCTAACTTTACAGTGTCAGTTTCATTAAAAAGTTTATCCAGCATAACTCCATGATAGCTTCCGCCAGTTTCAAAAGCCACTAAACCTAATGCATTGTTATTGGCTAAATCGAATTTTCCAATTTCTAGAAATCTTCCATTTTTGGCCAAGCATCTCACTGACGCTAAAAGCTTATCTTCGGCTAAGGAGTTTAAAATGATGTCAACTCCTCGACCGTTGGTTTCTTTCTTAATCATTTGCTCAAAGCTCAAGTCTCGTGAGTTTCCGATGTGATTTCCTAAAACGAATAATTAATTTTCCTGCCCCAACAACCTCCATAATGTATTAGGTACTTTCCTAAACATCTTGTAAGCTTACCATTTATTTGTGGATACTGCCTCCTAATAAAGTTTCTCTTTTCCTCGGTACCTACTGTAGTGAATACAGTACAGCCCATGTTTAAACACAAATTTATAGCAGCTTGCCCAATCCCTCCAGTGCCAGAGTGTATCAATACCGAATCGCAATTGCGAATTTTCCCTACCACCACCAACGCATAAAGGCAAGTTCCATAAACCACTGGCACTGTTGCAGCTTTTTTCAATGACCACTTCGGCGGTACTTCCCATGTAAGGCTGTTGTCGGCTTTGACCAGTGTTGCCAGAGTGCCTTGGGCCAGCATACCCATCACTCTTCTGCCAGATAAAGTTTTTCCAGAAAATTCGAAGCCTTGGACACACTCTTGCTCGCGCCTGTCCTTGGTGATTACGTCTACATTAATTCTTCCAGAAGCCGTCATAATGTCGCGGAAATTTAGGGAGGAGTAGAAGATCTGGAATTGGAAAATATTGGTCTTCAAGTTTAATCTTATGTTTGATTATTGTATCAAAAATAAAAAGTGTTGAGTGGAAATTATAAATTAGAAGCCGCATGATATCTACGGAAAATCTTGTAACATTGCAAGTGTTACTTGCGTTTTTTATCTAAATAATTATTAACATTTTATAATTTTGAATAATTATTTAGTCCACATGGCGGCATCTACTGCCGTGTTCATGTAATGCCTCTATTAGTTAGGGTTTTACCGGGGAGCTGTTTTGTTTTACCAGGGATCTGTTTTTCTCAAGGGATTCATTTTCAACAAGCCCCATCTCTGGGCATAGAGCTCTTGAGTCCTTCACGTGTCGATACCTGTACCTCTGCATTTGATGAAGAAAACTGAACTTCTAGCCTCTATCTACCTCAATTCCAGGCTAGAGTCTGCAACTTCCCTCGTATAGTGACCAAAAAATGGATGGCTACCGACTACCGTACTCTACCTCTTTGTTCGAATTGAGGCTTGTATAGAGTTAGAATTATAACTTTTATTTGCAATCATATATGTAATCTTGTCATTACTGACTTTTAAAAAATTTGGAAGTGACACTTTACCTGTGTCACTTCCTTCTTCGATTTCCCTCACCGATTTCCCTATTCGACATCCCTCACCGATTTCCCTCACTCTAATTTATTTACCTTTGCTGGCAACAATGAGAACATGTCAGGTAAAAACGTCAAAGCAATATTAAAAAAATTGATTGACTAATCTTAATTAATGGTGTGCTTGCAAATAAAATAGTATACAAACCTCGGAGGAAAGTTTTCATTTCTGTCTCGAGAATAATAGTCGATCTCGACGCTTCGCGTCTCGATTGACTATATAAATCTCTCGACAGTAATGAAACACTTCCCTACTCGGTATGTAATATACTATTATTATCTTTTTTATGAAATCTATTTAAATATTTAAAATCTCCATTCTTGACACCCAGGTGATGATGGATTAATTTACTTTTGATTTACAGTATTTATTATGGATTTATCTTTACTTCACTTTTTGTACCGCAATTTAAAAAAAAAAAATGTATCTCTTATAAATCAAAATCATTACTCTGAACTGAGATAAAGATTGGACAATATGTTCTAAATTGTTGTTCATGTAATGCCTCTATGACTTAGGGTTTTACCGGGGAGCTGTTTTTTTGGAGCCGTTTCTCTCAACGAATCTATTTCCAAGAGGCCACATTTTTGAAGGAGTACCATTTTTGTGCCCCACGTTGGGCGCCAATTTATTATATTACAGAGAGATATAACTGAAATCCTCAAGTTTATAAGTAATATAACCTGAATGAAAAATTGATCACTTTTTGGCGTTATAAGTACTTACCCAATAATCTGAAATTTAGAACATATTGTCCAATCTTGACATCAGCTCAGAGTAATGATTTTATTTAATAAAAGGTATTTTTTTTTTTAATTGCGGTACAAAAAGTGGAGTAAAGATAAATCTATAATAAATACTGTAAATCAAAAGTAAATTATTCCACCATCACCTCGGTGTCAAGAATGAGAGATTTTAAAAATATTTAAATGTCATATCAGGAAGAAACAAAATCAATTAATTTTGTTATTGATCATAAAATAGATTTTATAAAAAAGGTAATAAACGTTATAATTGAAACTATACAAACCTCAATTCCAACAAAAAGGTAGAGTACGGTAGTCGGTAGCCATCCATTTTTTGGTCACTGGACGAGGGAAGTTGCAGATTCGAGGCTGGAATCGAAGTAGATAGAGGCTAGAAGTTCAGTTTTCTTCGTTAAATGTAGAGGTACAGGCATCGACACGTCGAGAACTCAAGAGTTCTATGCCCAGAGATGGGGCTTGTTGGAAATGAATCTCTTGAGAAAAACAGCTCCCTGGTGAAAAAAAAAACAGCTCCCCGGTAAAACCCTAAGTAATAGAGGCATTACATGAACAACCATTACTCAAAAAAAATTAAAAAGGACCTAACCACGAGGGGGTTCGAAATTCAAACTCAAATAAAACGCTAATCACGAGACTTTTTATTTAAATTTTTTTGGCAATCAATGGATTATTGCCTTACGCAACTTTATTTCCTTAAAATAATGCCTGACGGCCGATAAGGTACTTTCTCCACGAGAACGGTAATCGATATTATTTCACTTAGGAAGATGGCTGCCCCCTAGGCCACAGTCGGACCTTTTCAGGGCAACGGCAAGATTAGAAAAAAGGCTCTTCCAGAATATATATCTCCACTTGAAATTTTTGAAGGAAAACCTGTCAACCTGTCAACCCTCAGCTATGTGAAAAGTACTACGTTCGAAAACTATTAACGAGGTTAAAGAGCAACGAAGTACTAGGTTGAGTAGATCAAGATAGTACAAAAAAAGCGCCTACGCCATTCTCGGAGTCACCGCTAAAATAATTAATTCAGCCAGCAATTGATGCCGCCGTATGGAAAATGTGAATAATTATTTAGAAAAATAATCTCAAATTTAGAACATATTATCCAACCTTGATCTCAGTTCAGATTAATGATTTTGATTATTTAAAAGATATATGTTTTTAAAAATTGCGGTAGGTAGGTATCAAAAGTGAAGTAAAGATAAATCTATATTAAATACGATAAATCAAGAGTAAATTATTCCACCATCACCTCGATGTCAAGAATCAAAGATTTTAAATATTTTCAAGCAATGTGGTAAAAATTCAATCAATTTATGGTATTTTTTTTTAATTCAGTGGCGCCCTTGCCATTCTGTATTTATTATACTATCAACCCACCCCTAATAATTATTCGCTGAGCAAACCGAGCATATTATAGGCCTCTTGTTAATTCATTAACAAAAGGGGTTACAATCTACCTATGTATTATCTTACCTCAACCAATGCCTCTTTGGCAGTGATTTTCATTTGCTTCCTCAAAGGTCCCTCAATCCATTTAATACTGGACAAATCTCCGCGTACTGTACTGTTTGCGTAGCAATGCTCACTTTCGACTTCCTCTATATCATCTACAATAATAATTAAATGTTTAGACTTTGAAATACCTACTTCCTATAAAAGAATACATCAAGTAAGGTATATTACTTAAAATTAGATGTCTGTAAGTTCCCCAACACCCGTCACGATAAACATTTACAGCCAGATTTTTGTCTAGCTGTGTTCTGTAGAAGGGTAGATCCGGATTAAAGGCTGGAGCTTTATCTACAATGAAAAGGCTGCGTACACTGTTGCATTCTGGTTCCCTTCTGATACAGTTCACCAAGCCTACAATATTAGAAGAAATTTGTAGATCATTATCCATAGTTTCAAAATCTTGAGTTAATTAGATGTTTTTGCTTACCAATAACACCATTAAGAGGTTCGTCTTGACACCAAGTCACCACATCCACATCTTTCCTAACTGCTTCTTTCAATTTTTCCAACCATTCATGTTTTTTTGTTTTTTGGCTGACATTGATGAAAACTTTTGTTTTGGAGGTTACGGATTTCTTTTTTAAGAATACTAATTTTTCTTCTAGAGTCACTGAAACATGGAGAACTTCAAGGTTTGGAACGTTTATGGCTGAAGTGTCCACAGCAAGACGTTCCCTTGTTAGTATGTAACCGTCTTCTTTGGTGGCTTTCAAGGCATCTTGGAGGATCTATGAAAAGCATTTTTTTAAAAATACATAATTTTCAGCCTCCAACTCACCCCACTCCTACTAAGGAGTTTACTTCCAATTACTACAGTACATTCATTTTGTTCCTGAAGCTTCTTATCCTCAACTTTGACCGACAACTCCAAATCTTCTTTACTTAATATTATAATATCACTCTGAATTAAAGGCTGGTCTCCTAGAGCTTCTTCAATTATTGGAGCCAATGGAGCTGCATTTTCTGTTGCCTCATCTAACAGCTCTACAGCCTTAACTTTATGTCCGCAATTGTTTTCTAGAGCAATTTGCATGAAAACTCTTATAGCCTCGGTTTTGGCTAGATTAGCCTTATTTGGTATAAATAGGTATTTTTCCAGTACTGGCATTGCTACGATTTTTCTACGAGGTATTGAAGATGCCAGGAGTCCTTGGATTTGTATACCGCCAGAACTAAAATTAATTTAACGTTTCAAAATAGTTTAAAAACAGCTCACAAAATTTTACCATATAATTTCACTATCATAGTTCACCTCCACAGGTACATCCTCTTCATTAGCTAGCCTTAACGCTTCGACGTATTCCAGATGCAAAACAGGATTTATGGTTAATTTGGCAATACTTGTAGGGACAAAGAGTAGCCTAGTATCTTCTCCTAGAATCTTCATTTGAAGCATATTGTCCATGAATGCTATCCAATTTTCTGCCCATTTGATTTTTCCTTGGGTTGCCCATTTGTTTGAGGCTGTAATGCCTTTGTAAAGGCCTCTAAAATTTTACACTTTTAAATTGTTAAGATTTAACAAAAGTAGCTATAAGGTACTTGTAGTTGTATCCTCTCAATCTAAGCTCCTTATAAATATCTCTAGAACTCAACACTTCAATATCCTTGAAATTATTCATTATTATAGAAGATGGTAGAATATGATCTTGGTTATCATCCATCCTAATTCGTCCAGTAACCACAGGTACCTCTCCTTCGGTAATCTCAAAGTTACCACTCTGTCTTTGTATCATCACGTGAAGCTCCAAGCAATTACCTGATGATGGTTTGGATAATGTACAAGCTCTCAAAAATCTGCAATTCTCGAAAACCACCTTAAAATTGCTAAGATCTTTTGATGATAGTTGTGTTAGTACTGTCCAAGCTAAATAGAGGTAGCCGGTTGCAGGAAATAGATTTCTACCTGGAAAACAATAGTTATTAATATTTAGTTCTATGTTAGTAACTTCGATTGACGATGATTATTTAAAGTTGAAGTTGTCAGCATAACAACCGTTTGATATCAATTGCTGGAATGCGGAGAATGGTCTAATCAAGACCGGAACGTTTGCTATAAATTCCGACATTTTTTGATCTTCAGTGATTATTTTACTGATCTATTATAAATAAATACCCAACTTCTAATTGAAACATATATAAATTATTAATAATTTACCATCTATAATATGTCCATCAAGGCTGGCCCATTCCTCTTCATGAAGGCCAATTTTAAAGACCATAACTTCACTTTTTCTTAAGTTACAGTCAAAAGATGGAATAAAATGTTCCACCTCATGTTTCCATTTGATTTTCGATGAAATCATTGGAGTGCCTCTGCTTACAGGAAACTCAACTTTGTTGTAGAGCTTCTGCACTTGCGGCTGTAGACCGTGCATATAAAGGCGTCCAAGTATTTCCAAGAGGCCAACCAAATCGGTTTGGCTGCTTAAATTTAAAATTTGGCAGCGATTTGCTTGAGAAGCTATACTTTGGCCTATTTCCAGAATTAAACAGTTTTTAGATGGACTTCTCTTATTATTCTTAATTTGGCTAGAGAAAATGGCTTCCAAAAAGTACTCAGGACAAGCTGTTTGGACATGAGATCCATGAAACCCATTAACTAGTTTCGGAGATGGAAGGTTTTTTTCTAATTCCTCTAGAATATTGCATTCTGAAATATTTCATATTGAATGAATTTACGGAAATTGAATTATTCATTTAGGAATTCATAATCTGGAGTATTTATTTAAAAAAACTACATAATCGAAAAGGCAGTTGAAATTACAAAATACTTACTAAATTTCTTCAACGCTTCCTCACTGAATCCTTTAGATTTCTTATAAACTTCCACTTTCTCAGTAACTTTGGCAATAGCGTAAGTACACTCTAAAAACTGCTCAAGACTTATCCAATTTTGATAGTAAGCACTGGAAAACTTTCCAAAAGACTCTTCAAATATTGACATGCAATTGTCAATATCAAGTTGTTTAAGTAATTCAGTGAGTGTCAATTGTGTGAGCAAGTCGACTAGGAATAGCGTAAAGTTGGAGTGGTTTGAATTGGATACTATTGCATCAAGATCCAGCTTTTTCTTGGAAAAAAAGTTTTTTAATTTGATTTTAAAGTTGTTGAAGAGGTTCAAACTCAGAAGATTTTCTAACAAACTTGAAGGTTGGCAAAAAATACCTCCAAAACTTATATGAAGATTTGATTTAGAAGGATTAAAGGCGGCTATGGATTTTTTGTGAAGGCCTTTACTGGACACAATAATGTAACCTCTATAAGTATGATTTTTAATCGGTTTTCTGTAAAAAAATCAAGATATTAAAATATATATTGAAAAATTAAGTATTTTTCTTATTCTAACCTAAAAATATTATGAATTAGCCCGATATGTTCATCATCAAACTTCTGAGCAACATCTTCAAGAAGTACGTTGACAGCTTTTTCAGTACGTCCACTGAGACACACCAACCTCGGCAATGCATCATCTCGTTTACGAATTTTCAATTTGGGGTTTTGCTTAAGGATTGCATGGGCATTACCACCACCAAATCCGAAACTGCTCACACCAACTAAACCATTTTTATCTCTGAAAGGTGTGTTTTCAACCACAACTTCTAACCTTCCCTGAGTTATGCCTGGAATAGTTTCTCTTGGGCATTTGTAGTTGATATTCGGGGATATTATATCGGTTTCAAAGGCCAGAATCACCTAAAAAAAAACATAAATCTGTCCAAGATTGGGATGTTTTTAAGATGCAATTGAAATTGATATCTTACCTTAGCTAAAGAACATAAAATAGAAACAGGTTCCGAATGTCCAATACTTGATTTAACAGAACCCACTAAAAGAGGGGTTTTTCTTTCTTTGCAAAAAAATGCATCTACACTGTTAAGTTCTTCAGGATCTCCTACTATTGTGCCTAAATGTTGGTGTAAAGTTAATTTAAACTTTTTCAAGTCTTGAAGTAGTTACCTGTTCCATGAGCTTCTATATAACTCATGTCCAAAGGATTAACTCCACTTTCCGAATACATTTCCTTAAGCAAATTGTATTGAGCCACCCCACTAGGATAAGTAATACCTTCTTCTTTGTATCCATCACAATTGGTTTTGGCATGAAGCAACTTTGCATAGATTCTTTTACAGTCTTTAGATTTCTGAAGCAAAACCGACACAATGGCTTCTGATCGAACGTAGCCGGTGCCTGCTGCGTCAAAAGGCCTGCAGTGTCCGTCCGAACTTAGAACTCCTAACCTAGAGAAAAATTAATCACCATCTAATTTTATTGGTGTTGGAATAGTTGCCAAAACCTCACCTAGCGAATTGTAATGTGGCACCCCCAGCTAATATCATGTTGGCACCAATAACGAGAGTCGCATCACACTCTCCCATCCTTATAGCTTTGAATGCTGATTCTAATGCGTAAGCGCCGCTACTGCAAGCTGTGTCAACAGAAAACGATGGCCCTTTAAGCTTGAGGAAATGACTGACACGATGGGCGAACACTGATCTGTGGTTTCCTATAATAGTGTTGGCATCTTTTTCTTGTTGCACCAAGTACCAATAGAATTCGCTTTCAGAGAAACAAACCCCCAAGAAAACTCCTGTGTTGGTACCTTCTAAGTCGGAAGGATGAAGGCCTGCGTCGAAAATGGCTTCAACGCACTTCTCCATTATTATTTTGCTCATTGCGCTTAATGTTAAAGCGTGACGCTTATGGACTTCTACGAAAAAATTGCGAAAGACATCGTATAGGTAATTGGAAAATATTTGGAAAAAATATAATGTAGCTACTTTCATAATAATGATGTTGCATCCGCAATACCTGAAGCTTCCTATTTTTCTATGAAGTCTATGTGTTTAACATTAAATGATTGAAAAAGCTTTTTTTTTCAAATTTCAATGGCGTCTTTACCTAACTGTAGGTACCGCGGTATCACTCTTTGAACTAAACCTCTCAATCAACCACTGAGTGCGCTCCAGCATGAAATTATCTGGATCATTTTGCTATTCTCCTTTTCTCTTTTATAGTTACTACTTACCAAAGAATCCCGTATCGAATCTGGTAGGATCCTTTAATTTTCCTACTCCTGGAGGAATTTCAGGATGGACTTTATCGCCTATGGTGATCATTTCGATTTTGTTGTCAAGGTTGTACTTAAATTCGTCCATATTATCTGAGAGTGGGAAGTTTCCAGATATACCTTAAAAGATTATCTTTTGTTTTACTTTCGGCATATTACAACCTAGGTTGTTTATGTTTTAACCATTTCCTGTTATAACTATGATGAAATATTTTGTTAAAGTTCAAGAATTAAATAATGAGTTACCTGAAATAATAACTTCTTCACCGGGAGGTGGATGAGCTAAAATTTTTCCAAATCGAACAGATGGGTCATTTTCCAAATTGTTAGTTTCTGGAGTTTCTCGCATCATGATTAAATCTAAACGAAAGTGAATTTAAATTTAAAATTCTGAAATTTCCTCACTATTGACGTCAAAAGGTGAGTTATTCAAAGAAAAATCAGCATTTTTTTTGCACTTGCAATTATCATAGTACAAATTTATTTATTTATGCGCTCGTTAGTATACGTACTAATAGAGACAATAGAATTATGAAGGAATTAATTGCAACGGGAATTTCATTTTTTTTCGACATTCTGAATATAGGAAGCCACATTAAAAATGGGGTTCTGGATAAATTGCTGGTTACCAAAGTGGAGTCGCACTACGCCGCACTACGCAGTCCTTATGCTCAAGAAGGATGGTGGAATGGGAAAGACTACCGCTAACTCAATGCAGAGTAGACGGACAGCCATTACCAAGAACGATAGTTAAAAGCACCGTAAAATAAAGCAAAAACAGCATACATGCCTTTCCGTCTTTCCACACCCCCTTTCAAGGCTCATGGATCATTTCCGTGCTTGTCTAACTTAATGCCTTCATTCTGGTGAAACCTGATATTAATTTTGTCTAGTTTTGCAGAACATCTTTAAAACCCTGAACCTATATGCTCGATCAGAGGACGACCTCCTCTATAACCTGAAAGTGGTACCATGTCTCAACGTGAAGACATGGAAACCACCAAAGAATTGAAGACTCTAGAGAAGGCCAATGCAGAGGTAAAAAGTCGAAACAAGAAGGACCCTTAAGAAGTGCTGCTTTTGTGCCTTATCCCTTTACATGTTATTCTCTTTAAGATGAAGTTGAAGATTATTTTAAGGCCGACCAAGGTGTCAATTCTTGAATATTCTCGCATACGGAAGTTGATTCGAATTCGAATGACAGCAACGTAAATTGAATAGGAAACATTCGAAATCATATCAATTTTCGTATGCGAGAAGGGCAAAGTGCATGATTGTCTTTGTGATATTTGCCTTACACTAATTGTCCACACCAAGTGTCCAAACCTACATCCTAATAAGTAAAATATGGACTACTGAGAACCTACCTACCGATTTTAGAGAAGCCTCCATTGTTGTCATTTTTAAAAAGGGAGACAAGGCTCAATGAGAATACTACAGATAAATATCTCCATTTTGTTGTTGCGGAAAAGATATTTGCCAGAACTTTATCCAATCGTCCAATCCCAACTGTCGAACAGAACCTCCCAGAGACACAGTGTGACTTTAGACGCAACCAAGGTACAGCTGACATGATTTTCAGTGCAAGACAAATGCAAGAGAAATCCGGAAAACAAAATCGCCTTCTATACATGGCCTTCATAGATAGTGAAGTTGCCAATACGTTATAAATGTTTCAAACATCTGCTGAAACAGCTGACATTTGCAAATTGTCACTAACTTTTCTTTGCTGGAACACAAATTTGGCATAGCGCATGTCACAAGCTGCTGCCAACGTTTCTGATAGCCCGCTGGAACAAACCTACACTAATTTAATTTGGAACTTACTTAATTGTTTTATTGGTTTATACCTGTCAGGATTTGGTTGAGTTATGTGCCTTCTTTATTTCCTTTTCAGAATAATTATCAATTACCGTTTGCTGTTTTTTTTTAGGTGTGTTTCTGAATTTCCACCCTCCCATATTTTATGTAATTTAATTGTTTATTTTTCTTTAAATTCAGTGGTGCTCATGCCATTCTGTACTTATTAAACTATCAACCCACCCCGAATAATTATTTGCTGAGCAAACCGAGCATATTATGGGCCTCTTCTTGATTCATTAACAAAAGAGGTTACAATATTGAGTAAGTTTTATTCACAGACCTCATAAATTTTCACCACTTATATCAAACTAAGATATAATTAATGAAAACAAAAGTTATATAATACATACCGAACGATGAATCTTAAACTTCAACAGCTAATGAAATTATACTAACAATAATACACAACTAAAATACTATATTACTCGGTGAACGTTAAACTAGTCAAATGCGTATTAATTTCGCATTAGCCTTTTATAAGTTCGCTAGATATTATGTTTGCATGTAAAAATCTGTAATAAATTTACGGCTTGCTATTCGTTTGCAGGCCGATGTACTTTATTGAACAACGCAATACAAAAAAGAACAATTTTATGTTAGGATCTAACATTTAAAAAATACTTGGATATCGAGTGAAACCACTTCATTTAAACGTGGAATTATTGACCCTAATAAAGATTTGCCTTGAATTTAGATGTTTGCGGACAAGGGGCCAGCCGACGAAGCGAAGCAAAATATCGAATGCAAAAAATCGTATCAGAATGCAAAATCAGGGGCGGATGGGCCCACCGGGATGACGGGAGATTTCCCGGTGCGCCGGTCCTTCAGATTGGCGCCGCCGCGGGAAGTTCTAAAATAATTGAAAAAGTAAAAAAGCCAGATTCAGATATCTAATTCATTAACTGATTAGTGATATGGCAGTTGGCCACTTTGCAACTCTGGAAATAATAAGTATGCATGCCATAAGCGCCCATACCATTCCTAATGTTTCATGGCAAGTTACATTGCTTGCTTTCTTCCGTTTGTCCGAGTCTTCAAAAAAAAGCAATCGAAGATTGCTATGGTTTTTTCAACCCTATGCATTAGGCCGTGTTTATGTTGGAGCTGTGATGAAACGATAAAAGCAACGATACTAGCGAAGCAACGAAATACAATGCCTGTGTTTGTACGCAGGTGTCTATGTTGGAGCGGCGAGTAGAGCAGCGCTTTTCTGATACTTTTGATAGGATACTTTTGAATAGCTCTTATCACCGCTATTATCGACCCTCTCATAGCTTTTATACATAAACACGGCCTTAGCAATATTTTTCTTTAATTTTGTCAATGAACTTTAATATCAAAATGTCATGTCAAAAATCCTGACCAATAAAGAAACAATAATGCGACGTACATTTCCGTAATCAAAGCACTCTTTGATTGGTTCAGTGATGGAGTAGAAAAAGACGGGCGACAAGAGAGTCTCGTCCCCGTACACTGGAGCTCTGTTTCCACAGAAATTCACAAACCAGTCAAAGCAAATATCATTGATTGAGAATAGGCCGGCATAGACACACGTTCTTTCGCGCGGTTTATCGTGTCATCTGCAAAAACCCGTGAAAAATCATGTGCGTGAGTGAGGAGGGCTGCACGCAATGATAGAATGGGAAGGGATTTCACACGTGCTTTCATCGAATGTGTCGTCACTACTCAAGTACATGATAGTGCAGTTCACACCCGTGTCCACACGCCATTCCACGTCACGGTTTTGAGGCTAGTAGGTATGAAAACATGAACGCCGCGTTGCAAGCTATCACGTTGAATATTAGTACATGACAACATTCACTTCCAAACGACACGATAAATGACATTTTTTACCCATACATATACGGTTTTTCCTTTCTAACTGATATGCCGCGCGTAATCACGTGCGAAATCATTTGAATACTAATTTTCAACGTGATGGCACCGTGATAGTTCGCTACGCAGCGTTCATGTCTCCGTACTAGCCTCAAAACCGTGACGTGGAATGGCGTGAGGACACGGGTACGTCACATTCCAGATGAAAGCACGTCTGAAATCCCTTCCCATTCTATCATTGCGTGCAGCCCTCCTCACTCACGCACATGATTTTTCACAGATTTTTGCAGATGACACGATAAACCGCGCGAAAGGACATGTGTCTATGCCGGCCTAATAGTCAGGAAACTGGTTGTTGGCGATTTGGACCAATCAAAAACGTTGTGACTGGTTTGTGATTTCTGTGGAAACAGAGCTTACGTCTGCTTTCACAGCAATCACAAACCATTCAGAGCGAATTTCATTGGTTGAAAATAGTCAGAAAACTGGTTTTTGGCAATTTGCACCAAACGAAAACGCTGTGACTGGTTTGTAATTTCTGTGACTTGTGAGAACAGACCCTCTAGCGGCGCGGCTTCGATTATGAGTATATCACACTCCACAGTGTTATTTTTGTTGAGGGTGTGTGTTTCAAGGCCTGATGATGCTCTATTGAGCGAGACACGTGTAGCTGAATAAATAAATTATGAGACTGTGACTTTGTTTTTTGTTATCTTCAAAAATCTTGCCTTTGGTCTCTTGGATAAAAATGGATGATGTCTTTTTCTTTTCAACAGAAGGGTATGCGCAGAAGTAGATCACTCGTGCTTTTCAATTTTTTTTACTGGACAGGTGCGGCGCCGTTCCAATCGACTTCCCGCGCCGGTCTGAGGGGCCCCATCCGCCTCTGTGCAAAATACACCTAAAGAAAAGTAGGTACATTCTGAGTCAGATCTAGGCCAAGCAATGAAGGAAGTTTACCTCAACATAATTAGAAGTTAACATTTTTTGGGGGGATCGGTTCATTTTCATGTGGTAAATAACATATAAAGTTTGCGACCTTGAACTTTAATTGGGTTTTTAGTTAGAGGTGGTTTTTAGGGGTAATTTGCGGTTTATGGAGAGCGCTGCTCAAAGGGATACTCCAATAGCAAAAAGTCTGAAATGATTGTTGTAGCTGAAGTTTTTTGCTATAAAAAACTTAACGACAGCATCCCTCTATCTTCTATAGTTTTTTTTTCTGCAGCGTCTTGAATAGTAGCATGTTTTTGTTCAAGGTCACCGAATCAACGTTTCGCCTGTTTGCGCGCATTTGATGCAGCAGCGGCCGAATGCATAATCCGATTTCAATTTTCCAAACACCACATTATTGCTAATGAAATGCACTCTCCAATGCTTTTTTGTTCGAATTTTTTGCTTGAAAATTAGGCAAGCACGGACTTGCCTAATGTGCGAGAAAGTTGTAAATTGCATCGAAAACTACCCGTTTCTTGCATTCACTGTAATTTCTAAACAGGGCCAAATATTTGGTGACAGTTTTCGACAATCGGCAGCCCATTTATTCTTCTCATAATGCCCTAACGGATTTTTTTTTTCGTTAATTACTCAATGACTTATTGGCCTGAACACGTCGCGCGGAATTTTTCAAAAAGTCAAAAAAAATTAAAATTGTCGCACAACGCTGAAATTTGGTACGATGGCTTTATTTATTGTTCTTATGAATATACTGCAATTTTAATTCTTCACATGACTGCTGCAACAATTAAAATTGCAGTATATTCATGAGAACAATAAATAAAGCCATCGTACCAAGTTTCAGCACAGTGCTACAATTTTGGTTTTTTTGACTTTTTGAAAAATTCCGCGCGACGTGTTCAGGCCAATAAGTCATTGAGTAATTAACGAAAAAGAAAATCCGCTGGGGCATTATGAGAGGAATAAACGGGCTGCCGATTGTCGAAAACTGTCACCAAATATTTGGCCCTGTTTAGAAATTACAGTGAATGCAAGAAAGGGGTAGTTTTCGATGCAATTTACAACTTCTTCGCAAGTTAGGAAAGTCCGTGCACGCTTAATTTTTGAGCAAAAAATTCGAACAAAAAAGCATTGGAGAGTGCATTTCATTCAGTGTTGCCACAGGCTCTGAAAATTTCGTGCCAGACTATATTTTTAAAAGCGGCTAGATTTCAAAATTTCGGGCAAACCGTTTGCAAATGAAAAAGAAGCGAGAAAGCTCGCCGGAGGCAGAAATTTTTTTCGGGTGCCACGCCCAAAAACATTTATTTTGCATGAAAAAATTATGATTTAGCTTGTTATGGAGAAACGGGCCAGATTCGAAAAAGAGTGGCCAACGGGCCACTCCGTCTTAGAAAGGGCCAGATCTGGCCATATGGGGCCACCTGTGGCAACACTGATTTCATTAGCAATGATGTGGAGTTTAAAAAATTTAAATCGGATTATGCATTCGGCCGCTGCTGCATCAAATGCGCGCAAACAGGTGAAACGTTGATTCAGTTACCTTGAACAAAAACATGCTACTATTCAAGACACTGCAGAAAAAAAAAACTATAGAAGATACAGGGGTGCTGTCGCGGAGTTTTATATAGCAAAAAACTACAGCTACAACAATCATTTGAAATTTTTTGTTATTGGACCATCCCTTTGAGCATCGTTCTCCATAAACCGCAAATTACCCCTAAAAACCAGCCCTAACTAAAAACCCTATGAAAGTACAAGGTCGCAAACTTGATATGTTATTTAGCATATTAAAATGGACCGATCCCCTCCCAAAAAATGTTAACTTCTAATTATGTTGAGGTAAACCCTCTTTTCAGATCCCCGTTTCTTGGACTAATGAAGCTCATAGTACATTATTACTTGCAGGACTTTATAGCATGCATTTTAAAGACGGTTTTTGAGTATATTGAGTATTGTCGGTTACTGATTATTAGTTTTTGGTTTTGATTTATGGAATCTCCTCAGAATTCTCATAAACTGGATGCTTATTTATTGCACACAATGGAAACGAATTCCTGAAAATTCCCGCACCGGTCGTGTACAGTTGCGTCTTTTTTTTTTTGCACCAATGTAGTTTTGTAACATCTTGGAGCTTCTAAAATAGTTCATTGTCTCACTAGGCAGAAAATCACAAAATTTACTAACTGACACAAAGTAGGTACCTACGCGCTTCATATACAAAACCATTCAATCGAGAAATATATCTCTTTAAACAACAGATTCTTCATATATGGGTGACAGGAGGTTCAGGGATCTAGGTGACCATTCAACAGAATCTCTTGATCCATTGTTTAAGACAATGATCGTCTAACTATTTCCAACAGGAAATACCTCGTGTTGGAAATATATTTAGCTTTATTCCGAAAATAAATCTGCCCTCAAGCTCAAAAATGTTCACATTCTTGAGCACAAACATTTTATATTAAATTGATAATCGAATAAAATTCTGATACATTCCAATGGGTTTTCTCTAATAAACCGAACATTTCTAAATCAAATGTAGCTTTGTGGGATATTATCGGAAAGCGTAGGTATGTCAAAAAATACATCATTTTGGTTTCTTACTCCCTGATATACATTCCAATGGAATTTCTCCAATAAAC